ACACGTATGAGAGTATTTCAAAGCATTTTTTTCATATGATGCTAATTCCTCTTTATTTCTCTATATGCATGTGCATAAGGGCATAAGGACATACTATTTGAAGCAGATTTTAGATGTTAGGTGAAAATCCTGCGAATGTAGGGTCCGTTCTCCATGATCAGTACAAATTGCCCACTGTTTGGAGATTCAACTCTTCTGCTGACGACATGCGCTGGACATCTACCAATAGAGGATTTACCCTGTAATTCCATCCAGCCTAGGCTATATGCCCAAGACGCACTTTCCTTGAGCAAAGTTGCCATATTTTAGGCCAGGGCAATTATCTTCACAAACCATTAGCTCTTTTTTTTCTAACTATGCCAACAAGGATTCAAAATGGACTGTTTTACTCTCTTTAGAACCGATAATTTTAGTGTAACTGGTCCTGCCTCAATGCAGACTAGAAAGAAGGATATTGAAGGACCGCCAGACTGCTTTTCCCTGACCCTTAAAAAGGTACGTTTGGACACGTCTACTAAATTTCTGCTGCTATGATTTTGTGCACGAAATGCTCTTACGCAACTAGTACAGACAAAAGCTGTCCATACACAGCTCCCAGTACGTGTATTTGCCTGCAGCGCCTCGTGCCTTTCCTCAAAATAAAAGAAAACAGCATGCTGAAAGGGGTAATGTATTAACGACGCAGAGAAGTGCTGGAAGGCTACTGGATTGGCTTGGTGGTTATACAGCCTAGCAGGAGAACAATGGTGGGGCCTTAGGTGCCGAAGTAGCTATAACGAAGAGCTAAACATTTAATTAAAGCATCATAGGACCCACCTTACCCATTGTGCGTCATTGCCAGCGCTCTCCATTGTCAACTCTTCGAGTCGGTCGTCACATCGAAGTCGGCACAGCAAGAAGGATGCCCACTAACCAATTTCATTTGCAGGTGCAACGCAGCAGCATGTCCCTAAATCATGACTTCTTTGAGACACAACAGAGAGGTGTAATAACTTGTCATCTTTGCCCATCCACAATGACGGACAGCGATGTAACATTGGTAATCAAGAGGGCCCCAAACCACCAATTTCAATAATATCGCCTTCTAAATGGTGACCTGCACAATAAAACTTAGTAAGCCCTGAACTCTCCGCCATTCTGCAAATTGCTTAACTCTCATTACTGAGTGACAGTTGATTAAGTGACTTTTCGTTTAAGCAGGAAAATAATTATTCGTAGTCTATGGGTTGGGGTAGGGTTAAAAACACCTTTCTCAAACAACTGTACACTAAATAAGCAGGGCAGGGGGCATCAAAAGTCCAATCTTTTGAAGAAATTTTAGTAAGACCAAGAAATAGCTGACAGTCTGCACTTTTTCTTTCAGTTTGGAGTAAGAATGGGATATCTGGCAGTTTATATCTCTCCAAGATCTGTATTTAAAGAATTGGAGGCTCTCTACGATGTTACAAGTGAGTGTGAGACATTTGGAGGCAATTCGGTAAGATCACTTTCATTGTTGTAAACATGAGCAAGCTTTTTTTATAAATTGAAGGAAAGCTACGTTTTCTATGCATTTGGTCATTTCAAGGAAAATTTTGCTTCTTTTCAACTTGAATAGAGACCTGCTCCTACGTGTGTGCAGCTAAAATACCCACAGGGACTACTGCTGCACTCAACCATCACTGAGCAGGTAGAGGCATCTTAGTCAAGATGCAGTTACCACAAATAGGCAAAAGAACTAGGAGATTATAAGCTACATGGCACCAAATTGAAGGTCAAATTGTTGGTAAATGAAAACGGAGTGTGTAGTTGAGGGAACTGCGTTGTGGAGATGTATGCTCGGACTGAGGTTACATCTACGATTTCCACTTCATCCTCGCAGAATCTGGTCATTTTGGGCGACTTGAACGCCGACCGCTCTTACCTTACCAAAGAGGCTCGGGACAAACTTCGTTTGAGAAAAGACAGTCGGCATAAATGGCGCATTACAGATGATATGGACACAACTGTATCCGCCCAGAAATGCTCCTACGACAGGTTAGTTGCTGTACTGTAATCCACCTGCAAGAAACTTGTCCAGATGAATCACTTGTTTCTCTCCTCGTTTGACCTCTTCAATGCATACGACTACCTCCACGCAATTCATTTGTCAGTTTAGCGTTTGATGAATCTGCCAAATTTGAAGTAACTCTGATATCAAAAGAATGAATCGGCACTTAAGCAAAATGGTAAATAATTTTATATTTCATTTAACCAAGAAGTCGGAAGCTTACGTTTGCAATTCGATGTAGTTACTGCAGACAGTTTTATTCTTCTGCCTTCACGTAATAAATCCGCGTTTTGCTACACCAACGGTAAGCTTAAGCTTGATATGTAAAAGTGAACAGGGCCGATTTCCTGTTTATTGCTCTATATGAATGCGCATAGGGGCTTAAGTACATAACTATGTGAAGCAGATTTTAGATACATGGTGAAAATCCTGCCAATGTAGAGTCAGTTCTCCCCGATCAGTACAAATTGCCTACTGTATGGAGATTTAACTCTTCTGCCGACAACATGTCTTTGGTATCTACCTATAGAGGATTTACCCTGTAAGGTTGCTTTCTAGCCTACTGTCAAATTTGTTATCATTGTGCTATTTCCTTGTACTAGCCTGTGTCATCGAACGAGGCTTCTTCTCCTTCTCTGTCCGCGGCAGACCAATTTACGAAATCTGGACCGATCTCGCATGCGCGGTGCCGTAGTTGCAGGCATGAATAATGGCTAGTTAAATGTTCTAATTTTTCTGCAATGTATGCAGATTTTGTTGAGCCACAAGCTTAAATAGCAAAATCGGAGGACCATTTTATTGTAGCAAAGATGGAGTATAGAAAGTTGTTGTCTCTACAATAGTTTGTACAGTCTCTTTGCAAAGCACGAGATAGAAGCACCTCGTAGGAGGGGATGTGGCCCTAAGATTCCTTTTGTCTATATTTAAAGTCCAAAGAATACCTGGCATGGTATCTTGCTCACCTGCCGACAGACCAATATCTTCCTTGTATCACAGAACGCAACAAGACAGTGCCTTAAATGCAAGTTAATTATACATAATTCTCACTACTTACAAAAGTGGACCACCATCTCGTTAGCGTGGTGATCCGTTCATATCAAAACTGCCTACGGCTCACCTGTCCTGTACTTTTACAGGTGTGTTTTAGCTTAGCGTGTGCTTTCTTAAGCATTCAGATGGGTGCAAATGTACAGAGCGGGTGAGATTTTAGCAGAATTGATATGAGCATAAAACGCATGCATGCGCCTAGGCGAAGTAATGCTGCAGTGGTACTGTACCTGCCCTGACTATTTAGCAATTTACTCAAACTCCTTGCAATTTACTGAAAGCGATTTAGTCTCATTGCACCCTTAAATTTAAAATTAAATCTCCTAATATCTACTTTAGCACCTAATGCATAATCGAATTTATCTGTTAGAATCGTACCTTGTCTTATGTACCGACACATCAACTGGGTGAGTTCAAATGCACAACCGGCTAGTATTAACCTGCGCGATTAAGTCGCTTAAGTACCTCAGTTTCTCCACGATGGGCTTGATTGAGTAGGTACTTATCCTGGTCAGTTTATATGAGTTAAGGTGAACAAGATGAACATTGGCCAATTCTCCTTATGCCGCTATGCCCTTATTGCACGCAAGTCATACCCGCAAGCCAGATGTTCAGAATAGTGAGTCTATTGACCGCTGTGGACACCCGAATACGTTTATTGAGCCACATGCAGCAGAATGTACTTACTTTAAACTGGTTTTAAAGTAATGCATGAGACTAATGAAGGAAAATTATTATTTAACGAATGCTACAATATGTCAAATGCTTTTAGCTGTTAACCCATCGGAGTCAACTATTAGCTGTAACTTACCGCCAATTCCACCGTATTACTTTGCCAAACTGAAGTC